ACCGACGGCGACGTTCTGCAAAGGGTCAGCTGTGAGCTCGCGGTCCTTCAAAGTGACAACAAAGTGGTGTCCCTGTGACGTCCCTATGACGTACTTCTTGCTATGGGAAGTTAACATGTGAAACGGGGTCCTCGCACAGCAAGTGCTGACTGTAATTTTTGACGTACCGACTCAAGGTCGAGAGCGTTTCATTCCAGCAAAGTCCGGCCACACCGCGCCACGCACTTTCACTTCTCGATGAGTTTGTTGTTTGCGCGGACCCCGCGAAAGAGAGGAGGGGGAGTCTGCGCGGAGCAGGGCGGAGGAGCAGGGCGGCGTTGCGTGGGGGGACGTGTGGCAAACATGTTTACCGACGCGATTAACCGTATTCGTTGGAAGACGCGCGCGGCCGCAGATAAAGTCGGGCAAGGATCTCTCCGCCAGCATCCGCGAGGTGTCGGGCCGAGATGAAGGGCTGAGGTTTAGAGCTGGCAGCGATACCCGCCGCACGCCATGTCGCCCCCCCCCCCCCCCGCCATGGACCGAAAATATCAATTACCTGCGGGAAATTATCAGCGTTGCGCAACTACACTCCCGTGAATGTTTCTTCCTCCTTTAATTTCTTTTCGTCGCGATTCGTTATTGTTGGTCGGGCTGACGTGCGACGCCATGGGATCGCCGCGGCCGCGGTACAGTATATCGGGAGTGGGAGGGCAGAGGAGAGGAGGGGGAGAACCGCGGAACCGCGGCGGCGGCGCGGCTGGCCAGCTGAGATGCCGCGATGCCGGAGATGCGAGGAGCCTGGTCAGGACGTGCGCCACCGACTAAGACTCGATAGAGCACCAGCCGTGAACCTCCGTAACATGATCGTCAGGCGAACTTCAAAAACCACAACAACCCAACCAGAAATGCCCCATCTAGAGAATAAGGTCTATTTTCGTACGTTTAAGCCGAAACATTGGAGCAAATAAGTGGCGCTCCGCTCCGGGTTCAAGGAACAGATGGACTGTCGCCGGGGTCACCGTCGCCGCGGGTGCGCTTGCTGCTGCTCCCTGGCCGCACCGCCGCCCGCCTGTGCGGATCCCCGTTCTCGTTTTAGTCCACTCCAGAGAGCGCCACACATTTACGGCACCGGATCGGAAAGACGAACAGGAGATGTGTACTACAGAGCGTCCAGTTACGCAAAACGCCTCGCCGAGGTGTGTGCTGCGCCCGCGGGCCGCGCGGTAAGAGCACCAATAAGTCAAGTTTACGGCGCGATCGTGCGACCGCCGCGCGGGGCAGCATGGCGACGAGAGTGGCTCTCGACCGGCGAGAGTGCAGGTGACTGTGCCTGTGAAATCTAAGGTGAGCCCCGCGCCGACCGCGCCGGGCAGCGAGCCGCGAGCACGTCGGTACCGCGAATGTGATATACCGCGGCCGCGGAAACCCGGAAGCTGTGCCGTCACCAGCGCTCCCCCGCTACCTCAAACTAGTCAACCAGCCGCTTCGAAGGATTACCACTAGACACACTAAGGGGGCGCCACCAAGCCGGGCGGGCGCCCTACACTGTGTCGATAGATCACAGTTCGTGGACCTGGAGGTGCGGCGAGGTGCGAGCGAGGTGCGGGCGCAGGCCAGGACAGCGCAGTGCGCAGTGGGCTCTCCCTAGGGAAAATGTTCTTCCCTGACTCTTGCCTGAATTCACGCTGAACTCGCTCGGACTGACTATGGAGAGAGCATAGGGACATCTCACCCTGAATCTTACATCAAAAATCTGAACTATGGCACGCATTCAGGAGCTGGACTGGGCGGGTCGGCGACGGTCGGCGAGCAGGTAGCGGCGGCGAAAACAAAGCATCATGTCTCCGTCAGCCTAGTG